TTTCGCAAATATGAAAAAATATTAACATTTTGTTTGTAGCTAGAAATTTGATAAATTAAGAGAATAAAATATGTGAGAATGAAATTTGGTATAAGTCACTAAATGGTCACTATAACAAATACTTAAAATTTGAAATTGTTACTTTTTAGGTTTGATAGTAATCTACTGAGTACGGCCACACCTGCAATCAATGCATGGTTGACTCCAGTAGATCAGCTAACGGCCGCACTGAATAACTTGACTAAAGCTCAGCATCAAAGAATATGTGGCATCATGGCATGCATCATGGCAGAGGCGTTGGATTTGCAGAGTATACATGAACCTTGCAAGGTAAACAAATCTTTGATCTGCAGAAAATAATTTCTGCATTGTTTTAAAAAATACAGTAGTGAAAAGTTGGTGTTTGATTTGGCATAAGACTTCAACATCACTATGTTGCCACCCTCAAATAACTACAGTCTTATTGATGACAGTTCTGAGCTGTACTGCCTCATGTCACATCAACCTCTTGGCCTCATACCAAGGTTCAATATGGTAATCATTATGTAAATCTTAAATGACATATCTTTTCAACATTATTTTATATCGCTAATAGTTACTATAAATAAACTGAACTGCCAAATGAGCAGCGCCCTCTGTGTTCATTTTGATGAAATCTCCTATATCCAGTTTGATCGCAACCAAAATAGATTTGCAATGCCCACAGTACTACTATTGTGTCATGGTGTTTATGGAATAAACCCTGAATTTGGAAAACATACATCTTGACTATAACGGCCACTAAGCAAATTTGAATGTCATTATTCAAATGAAGAATGAAGCAAAACAATCATTACTTATTTCTAAAACAATTATTACCAATGAATAGATTTCTAAACAATGGACCTGTGAGATGACTATTGAATATTTGCCCTCCTGCGATATGTGGAAATATTGAATATCCTTCCTTCATTTTCAGAGTAAATACAACAAGATTACATCATGGTCCAAACGTTTACAAGAGGATCCATCATGCCAACTGGTCACTGTTCTGAGAAAGTACTTACATCAATGCGATATACAAAACATTGAGGAAGCAGTAGCATCGGGTGTGATTCCAGCAGTCAGCTCATTAGAGAAAGGAATTCATGCATTAATAAGACAGTGGAAAGTGACATTAGTTGCCCCGGGCGTGGCAGATTTTGGAATGCTGAGCAGAAAGAGTGTGTTTTATCCACCACCATACTTAACATACCCGGTTCCTCCATCCTATTTAGACTCACAGAATCTTGGAAGAGATATCAGCACGCTTGGAGTTAGTGATGCAGATATGAATGAAGCTACTGGTTTACTAAGTAGATACAGTACTCTTGATGCTGATAGCCAAGCTGTTAGACAAAGGAATTCAGTTCCTCTTTCTGGGTCTCTTGGTCCCTCGCTCAAGCCTGAGTACAAGCTGACCTATGAAGAGTTCTCAACTAGAAGAAGGCCATCGCAGACCTTAGGCGCGCCAGTATTGCAACCCGCAAGCAGTGCTTTGCTGAAGGATATTGCATCTGAATCACCTAGCAGGGTTCAATCGCAGGGGTATGCTGGTTCTCATCATTCATCAAATGCGCTGATAGCTGATGCATCGCATGTGGCTTCGTTCTCCAGGAAGGAGAGCAATCCCAGTATGTCTGCAAGTGGGGGAAGCCTGGATCCCAATTTACCTTCTAGTATTTATGGAACCCCTCGACATAAATATTCCACAACCATGAGCAGTTCACAAGAAGCTGGGGTGCAGACATGGGTGGGGCATGAAAGGAGAGGAGAAAGTGTTGGCAGCACTGACCAGTTTTCAGCTGTGAATCCCATGTACAGGCCACAGAATCCATTCGATGTAAATTACCATAGCGATGCAAAGCAAGGTTTAGATTCTAATGCCACCACATTGACAAGTTCAGCCAAAGATGAGTTTATTCCAATTCCTCCCAAAGTCAATATGTCTCCACCAGCCATTCAGCTTGCTGATGCCCAACTGTTGTTCAAACCACTCTTGACCAACATGGGTTTAAAAGTTACAACAGGAACTGAACCATCCAAGTTGAGTGAAAAGTATGGAGACATATCTGTGGCATGCAAATTTGACTGTATAAGAGCAGATATAATTGAAACTGATAGTAGAGTAGAGGAAAGGCCACAAAGCAAGCCAAGGGGTAAGCGTAAACAGAAAAGAGGAATATTCTTTCAAGTGGAACCTGAATTGCCGGCATTTATATGTGAGAACTTCATTATTGAATCAACTGTACGAGATGTTTTCAATAAAGAACAGACAGATGACAGCACACCACATAAGCGCAGACATCTTCTACCTTCAGAGGAAGACATTGAAAGGCCCACCATTGAGGTTCATTTCACTCTGAATATAAATGAAGTTACACAGAATATAAACATGTCACTGTTGCGGTTGATGACCCAAGTGATGGCCATGGTTGACAATGTGAAGCAAACAAGGACTGATCTAAAACTTAACAGGTATACTGCCAGTGCAATGTCTGGGAGTGTGAGGTATAAAACTAGCAAAAATAAGCGTACTGATTCTGACCGGGATGATTCTAAGAAGAGAAGATCATCAAGGGTGGAAAGGAAAATTAGTCAAATCAGCCACACAAGACAACCAAGTGTGTCAACATCAATCAAAAGTACTATCACAGACAGTGATATATCCGAGCAAGGTAGTGATGGTATTCCTAAATGCTGGCAGACTATGTACCATCTTCTAGACTTGTATTCCACAATGCCTGATCCTGGTGCTTATAGTCCACAGAATGTCTTTGTAAATCCTATGTTCTTCATCAATTCAACTCAAGAAAAAGAGAAAGATTCTACTCAGAGTCAGGCAGAGGAACATGTCAAATCTGGAGAAGATTCCGGAAGCCAAGAGGAAGTTAGAGAGCATCGAGTAGAGATTGAACCTGATGCTGACCAGAATGATGGTGAATTGCAATCACCGACTACATCTCAAAGACCTAGACCCTTAGCAGTTAAAGAACATACACATATGCATGTCTTTGGTGTAGCAATGATCCAGAAGACCAGATTACTAGCCACGCTAGGTGGGCTGAATCTAGAAGCTGAGCTTAGAAAGATTCATGGCAGCATAAATCACAAAGTTAAACGAAAAGGGGCTTCACGTCGAAGATCCATGGAGTCATCAGCTTCAGTTCATCTTTCAAAAGCTCTTGTGGTTCTTCTGGAAAAAATAGATTTTGAAACAAAGACTATTGTGAATATTGATGTTAAAAAGTCCAATGGTTTGTATTCAGCTAGTAGTGGAAGAGGCAAAGAGAAAGCAGCTTCAGTGTTGTCAGTAGGTGCGGTTAACATTGACATTCCACAACATCCAGCTATTCTTCATGGAATGGTTGCAAGGAGTACTAAGAAACTGTCATCACAGATACAGCAGCTGAAAAGACCCATGATATCCAAGTCATTTGATGTTGTTGAGGGTGTGGCACCTTCTATGCCAGCTCCTCCACTGACATCTGCTGCAAGGGCTGAACCAGGTGATGATATGACACCCACAACTGAACTGCCTCAGCTGTCAAGCCACACCTTGACTAAACCAACTAAAATGACATTCAAAGTACAGATGAAAGAGATTGCTATTGGGGCTGCAATATTGCCTTCTCTTAGGGCACAGTATAAAATTGGTAGAATATTCAGTTCTGGTATCACTGGAGATGAGGCACAGTTTTCTTTAGTGCTCCCAAGTCATGCTCTCAGCTTTTCATCTAAGGTGTCAATATCAGAAGGTAACTTTCCATCTTCAGCATCAATTGACTTTCCACCTATTGAGTTTAAAGGTGAATATAAGACTGAAGAGAGGATGATTAACCCAGGGCTCATGGGACTTCCGGGTAAGCCAATAGTTAGGTATGGAACTTACTTAGATGCAGTGGCAAAAGTTGGATCATTTGAGCACAGTCTGACAACTGATCTTCTAAACCATCTGATATTTGTTCAGAAAGTTTTTGTAAAAGAAGTTGAAGAAGTGGTACAGAAGATGTCTGATGAGGAAAAGCCTGTTCCATTGTGGTCTGAACATGGAATTCCAATAAGTGCTGATAAGAGTAAACCTGTACTCTTCTCTCTTCATTTCAAGCTTGATGGAATTCAAGTCACGGCTACCACACCATCAACCAGTGCAGTCAGGTTTGAGACTGGTGCTATAGAACTGGAGCTTTCCAATAGAGTCCAGGGTACTTTTGGAGTGAGTGGCCTTAAACGAGCCAATAGCAATCTGAAGCTGTTTGGTAAGGCGCAAGTAGATCTTAATCTAGCATTAGGAGAACTTGTGCGAAACCAAGTGTTTGAAGAAGCAGAGCCAGAGTTTCAACAGATGGCGTACTTCAAGACCCGCATCGGCCTTCGAAATGCTTTGCAAGATGAGATCAGCTCTGCTGAAGAAGACAAAGAAGCTGTGCTGATATCTCTAAAACGACCTCTGTTTTACGTACAGCCAATTGCCTTTGACAAAGCAGTGCTAGTGTATTTAAATTACAAAAATGCTTATGAAAATTGGCATGAACAAATAATTCTAAACAAAGAGGTGCAGACAGCTGCACAAGCAGTGTTTGAAAGGCTGCCATACATTCCACACATTCCCCAACCAGATGTCAAAACCCTTGGAACACTGTTTCTACAGTTGACAGTAGACGATCTTGGTATATGTATGCCAATGACATCTGTGTTGCAGGCTACTGCACCTACTAGTAAGATTTTTGATACAGAACAGGGTTCAGCTCTAGTACTGACATTAGAAAGTTCTCTTATTACTGCTTGTTCTTCTGGATCTCTGGTTAGCAAAGGTATTTTCAAAGGCTTCTGCCTTAGATTTGCAGAGGATTTTGAAACTTCATTAGATGACTGGAAACCAGATGCAAGCTTGGAGATCATCATGAATGCTTGTACTGTGCCAGAAGGAACATATGAAGTTTGTTCCAGGACTACAAGGAAGACTGAAGCAGGTGAACATCTTCAGTCAGTTGGAAAGTGGATTCTCAGTATTTTATGGAAGATGCAGGGCATTGATGTCCAATTGGATACCCGTGTTGGTCATAGTTTGTCAGCATTGTTCGGAACTCTAACCTCATTTACAGGTCATGCAGAAGATGATGATATTGCGGATTTGAACTCTGTCATGGAAAATCCAGAAGATCAAGTGTTTGCCTCGAGCACTGAGGACATCTCCACAGTCAAGAAAGCTCTTTCACCCACAATAGCATCTGAAATGCATTCACAGTACCCGGACTTTGATCCTAAACAAAGAGCATTAATGATCGAGAAGGAAATGAATGAACAAGCTAAAGTTGTTAAAGACCTACGAGACCTTGGTGCCAGCAGTGTCACTATTGAAGAAGAAACAAAACACCTTCAAGAATTAGAAGCAGCTGTCTTTAAAGATTTCCGGCGAGATGTTAGAAAGAAACTTCGGAGACAAAGTGTGAGGGCTACTACCTTCAGAGATCGCTTTGTGCCTGGTTATAAACCAGCCACATATCACCGATCAAAGTCCATAGCTCATCCCTCTCAGGTCACAACTGGAAGAGGAAGAATGCGTTATCTAGATCCAAACATGCTGGCCGAGTACAATGAGGAATTGGATCGCCTACCAATGGGGCACAGCAGAACCAGATCTGATGGAATGCAGTTCATTGAACCATCATCAAAAGTAACATTCCACACTGATGGGCAGTCCTCAACAGATGGACTCTCACAGAGTTTGCAGGATCCTGACATTCAGGATTTGTGGGATGAGGATGATAATTCAGTTTCTCTGAATACGACTGTCAATGACCCTTCCTGTATAAGTGCACAGTTGACGAAGACTCCATCAAAGAAAAGACAACCGAGTAAGCAGTTATCTCTGCCAGAGATGTGGGATAAGGATTCTGATTCCAGCAATGAATGTGAAAGTGCCTACCTCAAACAAGCTAAAAGGTATGATTACTTCCCATATTATCACATTACACTGATGTTTTAAAGTGCCTTCACCTCGATATGTTTAATTACTTTT